ATCGTGACCGTGAACGAGAACGGGAACGCGAACGCGAGCGAGACCGAGACCGAGACCGAGATCGCGATCGAATACGCAGCAAGAGATCCCGTTCTCGCACACCTGACAGGGGCAGATCCCGCCACACGCGCTCCCGCACGCGTTCTCCTGACCGTTACCGTTCTCACTCCCGTTCACGTTCTCCCGGAGAGCGGTCCCTCCGCCGGCGGCACCATCACCACCGGACACCTTCGCCTGAACCTCACAGGAAGCGTCATCGCAGAGAATCCACTGCTGAAGATAATAGGGATACGAAGAAAGTGGTCTCTGATTTTGTGGATGGAATTGCGAAGGAGCAGCAGCAGAAGCACAAGGATAATGACAGTGGCGGTGATAATGGCGGAGCGGAGGGAGAAAATGGGATGGACGGGGATGAGATGGAGATGATGAAGAAATTAGGGATTCCGATCGGGTTTGATTCGACCAAAGGAAAGCCCGTGCCTGGTGCGGACGTGAGTGGTGTTAGAGCAGTGACCAAGCGGCAGCCTAGGCAGTACATGAACCGGCGAGGAGGTTTTAATCGCCCATTGCCTGCGGAGAGGAATCGGTAGATTAACTCTGTTTTTGAGGTGTGTTGGGTTTCTCTCCTTCCTCCTACTTTCCATTAAATAATGACGTGGATTAGGGATATCTCGTATTTGAAGGGTGGTAATTGCTGTTAGGTTTAGGATATAGTACGACTGAAGCCTCATCGTAGTGCTTCTTTCTTCGACTTTAGCTAAAGTTTGAATTGCTGCGACTGAAGTAATTCTTAGCTGGCTATTTTTAATGCTGAACTCTCCCTCGTTCAGGGATCTATAAATCAATACTCTCGTTTAATTGATTAGTAATCCTGGCCACCTGACTATCTTTTTTCTGATGTAGCTGACACCCCGTTGGTTGTAAAGCTGCATAAGGTGGCTAAATTTTCAAGTTTCATTATTTAACAATGAAACTTATATCCCAGTAAATGAAAAGCAAAATAATACCTCTTCGCCTTTTCGAATTTTTTGAGCGAAAGCATCGCAAGCTTCATCATTCTAATCCAGAGTTTTTTATTGTATTGTATATATATATATATATATATATATATATATTTATATGATGAAATGTAGCTCAATTTAATTGTGGAAAAAATATTGCTTCTAAATTCAAGAGGATTTCCCAGAAGCTGACCCGCCCTGGCTTTTTTTCCATTTCTTCTTGCAGCATTCTGTTATGATATTATTAGCAGTTTTCTGGTTCAGCAAACGTGGGGTTCATCGATTAATGTAAACTCAAAAGAGCCGTCGAAAGTAATAAATGAAACTATTTTTAACAGTAAGTGCACCGTGCGGTTTCAAATTAGGGCTTCTGTATTAGTTGTAAAGTGAAAACAAACAAGGTGTGAAAAACATACATTTAAGTTTCAACGGATCCAACTTCAGAACCCATCAGAAATGCAGCTGCGCTGCAGAAGCGTATATAAGTCATTGCTAAGCTTAATTGTCACAATTGAAGTGTTCATGTCATATTCAATGCTTTCTTGAATGTCTTGGTGATTTGTATTGCTGGAAGGTTGTGGAACTATTGAAAATCTCACAATTTGAATCGTGCCATTTTGATAACTTTTTTCTGATATTTTTTTCTAAGCTTTTCAAAGTATCTTCAGGCTAGTCTTAGCCTTAGTAAAAGCATGAATAACAATGAGGGTTAAGGTTATTATTGCATCTACGGTTTTCATATTGCATGACTAGTGATATTTGGTGGTGACTCTTTATGTTGGTTGCTTGTCTCTTGGCTACAATAGATGAAGAAAATGTTTGTATTATTATCTTGTTACCTGCTGTCTTTTCTAAATCATCTTTATATTTCAATTTGCAGATGGCAAATCCTTCTGGGATGGTTCAATTATGGAGAACCTTTGATGACTGAAACCCTCGTGGGTGCTTGGTAGGAACCAAAAAAGTGTGTAAGAATTTGAGTTGTTCCTGTGGCGCATTTAACATCCTGTCCTACCTTGAGCTTAACGTCCTGTGTAGTTGTTATATGGCATCTGATTTTTTCCCCCATACATTTCCATGCTTGAAAGTGGCACTCAAAATTATTGAATTTTTCAGCGTCTGGGATCAATTGCTTTATATCATAATTATGCGGAGAGATGGGTATGACCAGGAGGTTCTGAAAGTTCATTGGTGCTTATTCACATATAAACCATTTCCTTAGATGTGTAGGTACAATCCTTAGAAATTTAAGGGATTAAATTTTAAATGGAGCTAATTTGTGCTGTTGGTTGATTTCATTTGATATGGAAAGATATCATGAATTGTGCCTATCTTAGAAGAAGCGTAGGCTTGCGTGTATTTGGCTTCTTCCATGTCTATTTTGGTTACATGAGCAAGTTATTGGATCGGGTCTTCTTTTCTCAAATACCGTTAGTTTTACTATTGGAGCTAGCATTCTTTATATCTTTTTATGTTCGAGATATATTACTATCAGCGCATTCAGTGGACTTTACCTTGATCTGGAGTTATCGTTTAGAGTTGTAGAAGTGATGATGGCATTGTATTTGTTGTGGGGTTGAAAGGAACTGTGATGGCAAAGGTGAAAGTAGAGATCCCTTTCTTTTCATCAGACTCTTTACAACGATAAAGTGTTGGGGGGGTGGGGGGGTTGCTAATTTCAACCATATCTATCTATCTTTTATGGTTTGGTTAAGACTTGTAAATAGGAATAGAGGGTATGGTAACTATGGTGATCGTTATGACCCGGTTAATGATAATACTGTGAAAGTCATGGTTGTGGCAGTGATGTTGGCTACAGTGGCGATTAAGTGATGGTAATGGTTGCATTATCAACATTGGTGGTGGCAACCACAGTGGTGGCCGTCCTCATTATGGCAATGGCGGATCAGTGATAAAGAGAAATATTAAGTGTGTTCTGTGGATAGTATCGATAATAATGACCCTGACTGAATCTTAGCAAATGGTAGTAATTTTTTTCTTGGGTGTAAAATTTCATATCATGATTTTGATTGGATTGTATGGCCATAATCGAAATTAAAAAAAAAAATCTTCATATAAACTTATGGAATCCTTTGTGCGTCGCAGTGGAGGGAGAAACGTAACGATATTAATTTATATTATCTTTGACCATTTTCAATGCACCAAATGATGACGTGAATTGTGGGGGGAAAAAAGTCGCATTAATTAATTTATAGTATGCGAAATTTAACAAGCATCGGTGATACAAAAAAAGGGGCAGCCATATTCGACGATGGCTTTGTCAATTACCCTAAGGGCCTGTTTGGTTTGAGGGGAGGGGGAGGGGTAGGGGAGGGAAGGGGAGGTTTCATCCTCACCTTGTTTGGTTTGATTAAGAAGGAGGAGAGGAGAGGGTATTTAATGATCCCTTGTTTAGTTCATGGAGGGGAGGGGAGGGATAGTAATAATCAATTTACTATTTTATTCTTACATATTAGTTTATGTTTTTTATTGATATATTATATAAATTAATTTACATCTTAATTTAAATTATATAATTTAAAAAAAATTCAGTCTTATCATGTTAATATGTGTATTAAAAAATTGGTATAGTAATTTTTTATTCTAATTAATATAATAATATATTTAAAATAATCAAATTAACAAATTTTATATGCTCTAAGAAAAATGAAATTTTATTTTCTTTAGGCTATCTTTTTTTCCAGCTTTAAAATATATTTAATAAATAATATATTTATAAAAAACAATTAATTTTATAATATTATAATTTTTTATTTAAATAATTTTTTATTTTTAAATAATTTTTATAATATATTTTTAATTATAATAATGTACTCCTCCGGTTCTAATTATAAGACCCAATTGACTTATTTGAGGAAATTAAGGAAGTAAGTTAAGTTAGTTATTTATAATAAATAAGTGTTGTTATTCCTAAAATATCCTTGCTAATTAAGTATATTGGCTAAAACTATCATTATTAGAAGGATTATCTTGGAAAAAAATACATAAATATAAGAGAAAAAATGGATTTGATCTTATAATTAGGACCAAATAAAAAGTCAAATTGGGTCTTATAATAAGGACCGGAGGAGTATATATTTTTTATTTTATTTTACTTAGGATAATATATTTTTTATTTAAAATAAATATTATAATAATATATTTTATGGGTAGAAGTGGAATATTAAAAAAACCATAAAAGCATAATGGTCCAAAATTTTGACTCCCCTCCAAAAATCCCCAATTTGGAGGGAGCCAAAATGGAGGAAGAGAGGGGACATTTTAGCTCCCCTCCCCTCCAAAATTTTTAACCAAATGAGGAGAGGGGCTCATTTTCCCTCCTCCCTCCCCTCCCCACCAACCAAACACACTCTAAATTGGGAAAAGACAGAAAGTGAACTTCATATATAAAAACAATTGTTGGGCGTTTTTAATTAGAGAATTAAATAGATCACAAAAGAAATATTTAGAACGAAGTACTATTTTTCCTTAGTGAAATTTTAATTAATCTCTGCAAGTAATTTTCTTTTAATGTGACCTTTGGATTATTAAATTAATTAAAATATGATTTTCATTTAATGTGTACCCAAAGCTTGATAATTTATGAAAGAAAATTAGCAATGCCATTCAACCAAAACCATGAGAAAACTTTATCACTTGAGGACACATTTAATAAACAAACTTTTTTTTTTCTTTTTTATAATACATGAGAAAAAGTAACCAACTTATATTATAGACCAGGTAGAGTATATTTTATACATTAAGGACCGGAAAGACCGAAAGAGTATAAAATTAAAAATATCATCCAGAGTGGCAGATCACACTTCAAGCATTCCATTTGCCTCGCTGTCTCCGTCAAAGACAACTCTCATGAGTTCCTGGGAAAAAGAAGGCTGGAGTTTCAAATACCTAACCCACTAACCCAAGCTTCATTTATGTGAAAGGGGGGGGGGGGTCCAACTTGATGATTACACTAAATTTAAACAACACAAAACTATGGGCTGTTTCACACATCAGCAACATCAAACCACTTCGAAAAGCTAAATCAGATCAGATTTGTAGTCCCCTCCAACGAGTGGAGGCATGGCATGACAAGTTCTTATTCTTCTTCCAGCAAGACCAGTGAACACCAATTATTTTACTTCAACCAACAGGAAAATTAAAAAAAGAAAAAGGAAAATGAAATGAAGGGAAAGATGACCATCAGAATATGGAAGCTCAAGTGGTGGTAGGTCTCTGGATGATGAAGGCCATCGCCTGCATGTGGCGCTTGTTGTCAAATGCCAAACAGCGAATATATGCATTTGGGTATGTCTTCTTACATTCATGGATCTCATTCAGCACTTGAGATGGATCTGTACACCCAAACATTGGTAGTTTCCACAGTGTCCAATACCTTCCATCATAGTACCCTGGCATCTGGCTGTTCTCTCTCCTAATACATCCCACCTTCCATGTTCCAACACAACACAGACTTTCATGTTACGCAGATGTATATAATACAAGTCTTTGAAAATTGAAGCATCAATATCAATATTCATAAAATAGAATGAATATCTTGTTCTCCAGTCCATTCGTGGGGATTCTGCTCAAATTAGTTAAACCATAAAAGCAGAGATCATACGAATAATGAATGAATATTAGGATCACATAAGTTTCCCTTCCACTTTTACAATCATGTAATCCCTCTTTGAATGTTGGACAAATTATTATATAGATCTCTCAAACAGTATATCACACAAGGAAAAATTAAACAGTCGCATGAGCAATCATAATACATCTATTACTTTTAAACTAAAAGAGGATGAGAAGAAATCTGATATATCATCCTTGTTCGTTTGAAACATACCTCATCAAATTCAAGGCAAGGTATCCATCCTTTCTTAAGCATGTAGTCAATCTCCTTTGCCACGGATTCATCGGAGAGTGGAGGGAGGTAGGAGAGGGTTTCGAACTTCTTGTTGTTGATGGGATTCCATGTCTGTTTGAACACACACACAGAATCATATAAGAAAGGAGGGGGAAATTACTAATTCATTTCAGTCTCCTATCAATTACAAGATCGTTCACCGGATCACTTCACCTTCATGCAGTAAGCTTTAGAGCCATTGGAGACAGTTTTCTTTTCCCAGCCAATGGAACCAGTACTCAGACAGAGATTTGAGGAATTAGATTTTAGACCAACAAAGCCAGTCCCAGAAATTGGACCTGTAAAAGTTGCAGAAGACATTTTTCACAAGTGGGTCTTGACAGGGAAGTTGATTGGAAGAGAGAGGGTAGATTCAATTGAAATAAAAGTGATTTGGGTTGATTGAAAGAGAGGATGGGATCAATAGTAGTATAATTCTAATATTACTTGAAGATTTAATCTTGAATGAGGTAGAATCAGTTGGACAAAGCGACAACCGGATTCGGCTAGGGTGATCTAGAATGATAAATGAACTATTTGGTGAGAACGCAGTTTAAGAAAACAATGGGTACTGGGTGGTGGTAGTATTTCAAATTAGATTCATTTACCTAAATCTTAAAAGATACTTCACATCTTCTCTAATAATATTATAGTACAATAAGAAGAAAGCACAAGAATAAAAAGGATATGAAATTATTTCAGTTTTTTATTTCTTTTTTATTTATTTTTTAATCTCTTTCCGATAATATTATATGCATAGAAATAATTGGAATCTAGAAATATGCGTTTTCAAGTTCTGCTAGCAGAACTAACATTTACGATGAATGGAGGGGCCCACCAATCCCTGGTTTCACCGATGAGTTTCCGCCAGCAAGTTGAAAGACAACCTAACCATTTGAATAAAACATAGACAAAGGAGTCCTCCTTTTTATTTTGACTTTGCTGATGCATTTGGCTCAACGTGGACATGCTGATCTCAAACACCTTCTTTACAGTCCAAACAAAGAATGGATTTTTACCGTGCTCAGAAGCCAACCTCATTGCTGAATTCACCAAACCACAAGACATGTTAACTCTTTGAAGGATTGAGCCTTTGTCATCCAAGGAGAAAATTTTAAAGTTTGCCCTGGACATGTCTTGCAGGCATGTGAATTTCCAGTCTGAAACTTTTTGCCCAAAAGACATTGATATTTTAAATAAAACTTGCATCCTCTGCGACACAAAAATCCTCAAGTTCCTTTCCCAATAGACTCAAAACACTATAGATATCCCCTAAACAAGAATGAGACTTATCATCAACTACAAATCTGTGGACAATTTGATCAATCTCTATGAAACTCCAAGCAGAGATTGGTAGTACTCCTCGGTCTTTCATCATTTTCCTCATCTCAGAAACACTCTCCCATTTACCCATACCGGCATACATGTTTGCCAGAAGGACGTATCTTCCACTATGTTGAGGCTCTAATTTAATCAAGAGCTTCCCAACTCTCAGCCCCAACTCAGTATCACCATGTATCAGACACCCATTGAGAATTGACCCCCATATAGCTCCATCAGGTTTCATTGGCATGGTTTTTATCAGTACTTCAGCCTCTTTAGTTCGTCTAGCTCGGGCCAACAGATCAACCATGCATCCGTAGTGCTCAATGGATGGTAATATGCCATAAACTTTATACATACGCCCAAATAATCTCCATGCTTCATCCAACAGAAATTTGTGATTGCAAGCATTAAGAACACCAACGAAAGTCACGGCATTTGGTTTGGGTCCAATCGTTTCCATCTGCGTGAAGAGATCAAGTGCCTGCTGATTCCTTCCATTAATCCCCAAACCCAAGATCATAACACTCCAAGTAGTAACATCTTTCTCCGACAGATTACTAAATATACGTTCTGCTTCTTGAACGCATCCGCATTTTGCAAAGAAATCAATCAATGCAGTACCAATTTCAAGTTCATGTTCAAAACCATTTTCAACAATGTAAGAGTGAATCCATTTACCATCTTCAAAGGCACCTACAGCCGCACAGGCAGTAAGAACACTCACTAAAAGAGACTTATTCGGCTTCAGATTTCCGGAATTCTTTATCTCGCGAAAGAGCTCAATTCCCTCATTGAAGAAAGCATTCTTGACGTATCCAGATACCATTGCACTATAGGAAACATCATTTCTTTGAGGAATTGCGTCAAATAAATTCCGAGCTTCATTGACCAACCCATTGTCACAATAACCACTGATAAGGCTGGTCCAGCAAACCACATTTTTATGAGGACTTTCATCAAACAATTTGCGAGCACCTTGAATTGCTCCTTGTTTAGAATACATATTTAACAAAGAGCTAACAACATGAACATCAGAGAAATTCCCCAACTTTACTATCTGAGTATGAACCTGTTCAAGCAAAGACAAGGAAACGCATGATTTGACCACAAAAGTGAAAGTTCGAGCATTAGGACGTACGCCAAGTCCAGGCATTCGGTTGAAAATAGAGAAAACCTTGTCGAACTCTGAATTACTCGAGAAACCCATTATCATAGAATTAAAATCAAAGACATTGGGCGTCATCATGTGATTGAAAAGCGTCTCCGCATAGGGCAAATCCTTGTGTTCTGATTTAGCACAGAAAGCCAGAATTTTGCTAGCGATATAGGCGAATCGAGCAAGACCGTGGGTAATAGCAGAAGCATGGATTTGCTTCAGCTCTCTCATACCCAGACATTCTTCTAGTAGATGTGGAAACACTGTACTTGCCAATTTTTTGTTCATGAGAGCAGTCTGGAGCTCCCGCGTTTCGGGATTCAAGGCGCCTGCGAAGTACCAGTCAGACACCGTTAGCATTATTCGTCCTTTCTTTTTTTTTTGGGTGAAAAGTTAGCATCATTCGTTCTTGCATGTGTCTATACCGTGCTTATTATTAGGATCTTAAAAGCAATTTTTGATCAACTTATTAATCACTGCATTTCAATTTTACTCTTAATTAATTAAGTTTTAGTTTTAATAAACTTATCAAACTCTATTTCTCTATCCATATCATTTAACTTAGGCTAAACTTGGGGGAAAAAAAAGAATCCAAAACAGATTTAATGTTTTAATTATCATTCCTTGTTAGATAAGAATTACTACCTCCTATCCTTAATATAAGAACTTATTTGACTTTTGTTTTAATTCTAAATATAAGACCCCAATCTACTTTGTCTCCCATATTTAGTTAATTTTTTCCAAAATAACCCTTCTAATAATTATAGTTCTAGTTAATACATTTGATTATCAAGAATATTTTAGGAAAAACAACACCTATTTAGGACAAATAACTAACTCAACTTATTTTTTTAATCTCCTCAAATTAGTCAACTGTTTATAATTAAGAACGAATAGTGCTTGAGAATGCCTGGCTGACTAGAGGAAATATGTTCGCGCGCGCGCGCGCGTATCGCCGCCTGGCATGATGCGTTGGCCTTTGAGAAGATTGCGCACTGAAACCAGAGCACTAGAGTAAAAGGAAACAGTGCTCCATTTGAATGAAACAACAATCGCTCGTGGGAGAAATGCAAAACGCCTTGTCGTTTTTGCGTCTCTGGAAGTGAAAACAAGATCCTTCCTTACTACAGTATTCATAGACTAGAATGAAGATCCAATAAACTCGAAAATGAACGTATTTACAAGTAAAAGGGATGGAAAAATATCAAATTATTATAGGGCTGATGCTCAAATTATTCTAACATAGACGAACAGGATGTTATTTGGATATTAGTCAACTGGGATGTTGTGCAGTCATCTTGAGAGAAATATTCAAGCATGGAGAAAAGGGATAGAAAGATATCAAATTCATGCTATGGATACTCAAAAAAATGCATCAATCTCCTTTGCAACGTTGTGCAAAATCTTCGTTTCCAGTGGGATTGAAGTCCTTGTAAAGTCATTGGCAGAGCCAAGACCCATTGCCAAATGGGGCACATAATTTTTTCCCCCCAAAAGACTTGGTAGCACTGGATTTCTTAGAAAATTGCATATTGAAGAGGACCCAAAACGTTCCCACTTTGTCAGCCTTCATGAAGCCAACCCTTGTTTCAATACTGACCAGCCGGCCTGACCAAGCGTGAGATGCCGCGTCAGCATGTGCTGAACTAGGCTGTGGGTCAAAAATGCTAACCCAGTGGTGTTTCAGGCTGGGCAGAAGGCAAAGCTAATGCTGCCCAAACCGGCCTACCCTGCTTATAGTCTAGAGATGGAGTTGTTTGATACAAATTATTCAAGTCATCTACCAACATTTCAACATTCATATAAATGCTAGTTAATTCACAAATTGAAACTGTAACCGTTCTCAAAGAGTGAATATATCATCTTTACATCATCATATGAATGACCATGGTAAAATACAGGCAACTGTTCAAAAGAAAAATATTGATGATCTAAAGAATTACTGCAGCACAAGCCAGTTGGGGCTTAATCATCAAGCAAGTAGCAGGACCTACAAAATATGGTCAATGCCAGAGCTTCATGCAGAACCCAGCTGGCACAACAGATGGTCTCTTGTTTGATATGCATTCTGAGAAGGTGTCCACAAGCTGCTCAGCAAGAGAAGGTGGATCATCAAGAAATGTATCAATATATACTTTCACAATCTTTACTTCCTGTGGCGTGGCTCTCAAGCTGTACCAAGTCAAAAATTTCTGTCTGAAGTTCTTTTCTATGTGTCCTTCACACTCAAGCCATCTGATCACTTTCACGTAATACTCAAAATCCCGATCCGAATACCCATTGGCAACAAAAACCTCATCTTGCCTCTGTTCAGCTCTCTTCTTAGATGTGCTTCCATCCTGAGGACCCTCTCTCTTCCCGGAACCATTCTCTTGATCCTTGCCTGAGGACTTGGATCTACCACTTCTTCCTGGCCCGTCCTTAAGTATTTCCAACTTGCAAGGAGTAATAGGCAAGCTTGCTTCCGAGCTACGCACCAGTGGCACACATTCCCTCCCAATCTGAACAGGGGAATTCAACCCATCGTCAGTGCTCAAGTCCTCAGTGATTTGTCCCTCTGGTGAATGGTTGTTTTCAAGCTTTAGCATTTCAGAACCAGGTATGGTTACAGCCAAGCCTCTGCCACGTTGCTTTTCTGACAGAGAATCTGCATCAGCAGGCAGTCCACCTCCAACGGTGTTGGAACATTTAATAACATCATTGGATAAATTTTCAGAAGCAAGCTTGTCAGCATCCTTGCTATAAGCAAGATAATTATCTGCCCGATCATCGGTCTGATCACTAAATGGATTGCTGTTGTTGGTTTCATCTTCCACTGATGAAGGATTGGAATGGCTGCTACAGTTGGTTACTGGGCTCTGACTTCTTTCCGTTGCTGAACAGTTAGGAACTTCATACTCGCCAGGCTCTGTTGAGATTTGTACCTCACACGTACCCATCTCCCTTGTGCCATTATAGGAAACAACTTTGAAACTATATTTTGTAGCTGGAATTAAACTCCTTATATTGAAACTTCGGTCAGGTAGAACCAAAGTACAAGTAGGTTCAACTGGATATTCCACATCAAGAGCCTTGCGATGCCAAAGGGAATAGCCACTGATATTTTCTTCCAAAGGATCTTCAGAACCCAAAATCACAGTCAGGGATGTATCTCTGACATCTTCGAATCTCACCATATTTGTTGCAATCAAATTTGCATCTGAAAAGGTCAAATGCAATCACAGAAAGCCAAATAAATACGAATTTAATTTCAAGAATCCCTATCCAAGGGAAAAGAATTACCTTATAATTGTAACGTGCTTTGCTATACTGTATTCATGTCAATAGAAATAAATACAAGAGTTTCAAATAAAGTACTGTCTGATATAAATCATTGTAGAAAATAAATGAAAATAAGAACTTACAAACAACACATTTAGTATGTTAATAAGCACATCACCATCTTATCAGTAGGTGAATTTTTTCTCACACACATATATTACGGTATGCATGAGGATTATACTCCACTGGCTACAAAGGTTATTCTCCCCCAAGATACTAAGGAAACAGAGTAGACCCCTCCCAACAATGTTTATTAAAAAAAGGTCAACATACCCTCACTTGGGCACACAAAATAAAAAGATGAGTGATAACCTTGAGTTGTTGGATTAGGTGATGGAGGCACAACCCCTTTAGAAAGAAAAGAATCTAATGATTCCAAAGCCAAACCACATAGTTTCTGAACCTCTGGCCCTGACGAAAGTCTGTTCACAATGCCCCTACCAATCTTCACTGGTGAACTAGTTAATGGGCCTAATTCAGGTTCAAGTTTCCTCACCGCCTCGTTAACAATTTCATAAAGTTTTTTATACTTTTCAGTCCCTTGTAAAATTCTTTGGCTCAAGGAAACACGGTAGCATAGTATGTCAACACGTCTAGTATCCTTTGCCACCATCAGTTGCTTTCTCCAGCATCTAAATGCATTTTAAAAACAAAACACAGGTGAGATTGATCTTACACTAGACATTTAGAAACATTTCATCCAGAAAAGTGTAACAGATATTCCGTCTATCTTAAAAACAATCACAATATATTTAATGTATTATTGACTGGTATTCAACAGAGCAAACAATCCTGGATATATGTCCCCAATCCCCCACAAACGCCTCCCCCCCAAAAAACAAAGGAAAAAAATGAGAAGTTTCGATGGATCCAGACGCCCTCAACTAATGCACAACAAATTTCACTGATAGTAGTAGCATACTGTGAACCACCAAATAACACCACAACTCTATTCGCAATCATACTTAAAAGTTGTTGAACTCAAAAGAAATAAAAAAGGAATAGATGGACAAATGAGTCCAGTACTCGGTCACTAGGCTTTAAAACAGCTATTTCAACCCAAAAGCTTAGGCAGTCAGGAGAAGGCCTTGAAGACAGTTTTGACATATGTGCATGCACACGTGCTTATGTAGGTTTGAATGTGCATATTGGATGGTGTATGTACACATAATTTATGAAGTCCATAGAATCTCAAGAGTCTCAAGGGAGATCCTGAAAACAGCTTACCATAAATAAATAAATAAACAAATAAAAATCATCATTCATATCAATTGACTTGCTTAAGAACATTTAATGAAGAACTCCTGCACACAAGGATTAAAAGAGAAACAGAAGAGCAGCAGCAAATTTTTCAAATGGAGAGCATATGTAATCTAAGAAACTGAAAAACATACATGTTAAACATACACTATTACCCGAGCAAATCATTCACTTTCCCACATGAGATGCAGTAGAAGCTTCCATCAAGCTTGGGACGTTTTCCATCTTTGGCAATGCCAGAATTATCATGCTTTAAAGCACACTCAAGATGACATGACAAGCCACAAGAAACACCAAGAAATGGAGGCTCAGAGCCACATATTAACCAAAGGCTAGGATCTTTGTTGTCATCATATTTATGACAAATGCAGCATGAGCATCTTTTACAAAACACATCTGCTTCACTTAAGGCGGCTTTGCAAGCTGTGTTTTTGCAGTACGAAATACTAGTTACATCTCCAACTCCATTGTTGACAGAAACGTCATTTACTGGAACAGGTAATCGAGACGGATTCTCATTTTTCCTTTGCCTTTTAGCAGGTTTCTGACCATGTGAAGTAGAAGAATGTGGTTCAAGGTCTGTTGCAATTTCCTGGCCTCCAGATTTCTTTTCAGAAACAATTTTCAGAAGGTTTTCTATAATTTTCACCTTTGTTAATCCAGTATACTTCCTCTCTTTCCCCATCTCAGCACAAAGGATTTGTAAGATCTCTTGACGGCTCCACGACTGTAGCATTTCCAATGCATCATTTGGCCACTTAGATATTTCGTATACAAGTTCTCTTTTTTCCTCCATACTCAACTTACTGCATTTAGCAGGATCAAGTGTGAAACCTAGAAACAGTAATAGGAAAAACATATATTAGTGCGTTAGCTATCTAACTTTCCATGTGGTGCTGTAAGCTGAGATTACTTCTCCACGCTGATTTGCTTCCCCCCCTTTCTAGTTGTATGACCAGGCAACATATGTGGGGAAACAACACTAAAATCAGACCAACCACGAAATTTGTATAAACAATGCTGTGTGCTAGACGGGTCTTGATAAAATAAATAAATAAACTGAAAATCAATTAGGAATCTTGGATCAATTACATTACATGCAGCTACTGTGCCATCATCTTATCCTCACTAAGAATCTGTCAGTCAGGTAAGCATATGAGAAGTTTTGAACTATGCTTAACTGAATACAGTGAAATTAAGAACAAACTACAGTATTGAACATAACCAATTTTCTGGCTCTAGTGAGAAGGATGTCTTAACCACATAAATCTGAGTAGGACTGGGAATACAGGGGAGCTCTAGTAAGGGACCAATAAAGTCAAACAAACAAACAACTGACGTTAACTTCCTTTGACTTTTATATACAACTCCGTTCTCTCCCGAGACACATCACAAAGACCACTAATTTAGACCTTTCCGCCTGACGCACCAACCTATTATCACATAATAAGAGCTTAATTATCTAGTACCCCCTATAATGCACCAATATTTTATTTTGTCGAGTACAGGCACTGCCAGTTATGAATTAACTGGCCAAAAGCAGGAGACAGCATGGGAATCAACACTATAGTATAGTTTAAATGAAAGCTGCAGTCCCAAATTCAACAAAAGAGACAGAGTTGGTAGACCTTTATGTGGCCAAAAATAAAAAAAATAAAAGAAATTAAATATTAGCCAAGATTCAGAAAGCAATCAAAGGAAGACGGGAAAAGTAAAAAGCAAATCAATAACCCATGAAACCATTCATGGCACAATGCCCCAGCAGCAGCAATCAACTCAAAAACATTAGAGACGAATCAACCGCTGGACAGTTCAATTAGGAAGCACGTTATATCCCTGCAACTTGACTCTCACGGGAATAACAAAACCCAATTCAGTGACTAATTTCAAAAGACCGACTTGGAATCGGAGAAAATTTGAATGAAATCAGACACAAAGAAGTAAGGCGTTACCCTCGAGAGACGAATCCGCTGCCATAGCTGTTCAGCAATAAGAAACCATCCACCCCACCATATCAGAACCTAAATCCCAAACCTTTACAAATCTGGACAAAGTGATATCTGCGTCAGAAGATGCTATACATGGCAACAAAAATAGAAGCAACAAAAGGGGTTAAATTTATGGAACAAAGAAAATGACCCAAAACAGAAATAGAAGAAAAGGGGCGAGGGAGATTGAAAGGGAGTGAAAATGCGGAATAACATAGAGCAAGAAAGGACACTTGCCGCAAGCAGCGAATCCATGAATTCGCAGTCACACCCACCGTCTTCCTCTGTGCGTTGGCTATACTTCCCCCGTGAGAGAGAGAGATAGAGAGAATTGGTAGGAGAAGAGAGAGAAAGCTTGCAAGTTGTCAAGAGAAAGAGGAAGAAAAGCGTTGGTGTATGAAATAAATAAGGCTTCTGATGATGCTAATCGCCGGGACAAAAGCGGCTGCATGCTCACTCAACAATGCTTGCTTTCACCTTTCTGTTAGCTAGGATGGGCCCGGGCTCAAATTACCAAAATAACCTTCTTCCAACACTTATATTTATTGATTCATTGGGAGAATAACATTATGGTGATAAGAAGAAAAATAATTGCTAAAAAATTTCAATAATAATCTAAGTGACTGTAATGACAAGTTTTAAAATAAAAAATAATAATTTGTTATATTTATTTTATACTCTTTCAGTTCTACATATAAGATATAGTATAAATTACACTACAAAATAAGTCTTATATTTAGGATTGGAAGGCCAATTGTTTTTTTTTTCCTTGAGATATTATTGTAACTCTCCCTTGTTCATTTAGATATAAAAATTCGCATAATGCACGAGGTTTAGGAAATTCTGGCCAAAAAAGTGTTTAGGAAATTAAATATGAATTTTCTTTATTTGGAGAGGTAGGTAGGTATTAATAATCAGAACATAAAATTATAAATAAAACATAGAATATACAAATTTTTATATTAAAATGAAATTTTACATGATTTTAAACACTTGAAACCTCTGAATTAATTTATTTATCAGAAAAAAATCTATCTAAGCTCGATAAATTAAAAAAATTTTCTACATATTTTTGTTCATATTGCATAAATATTATTGTTTTAATACTTAACACAAATGTATTACCGACTAGAATGATATAGGTGTTGTTTATATTTTTAACCCTTATATTGTCTTTTTTGAAAACAGAGAGATTAAAGTAAAAACAATTAAAGAATTCACAATTCATGGGAAAATAAAAGAGTGCATTTACAGTACACCCAAAAAAAAAAATCTACAATACGGGTAAGGGAACATATATGTGTTTAATTTACTACTCTCTCCGTTTATTTTTATAAGCAATTTTGAATTTCATCATGTAAATCAAAAAGTTAGTTAAAAATAATAAATATGTAAAAATTAGAAGTTCTTTTTTCAAAATACCCTTATTTATAAAAGAGAGAGAATGTGAATAGAGAGATGATGGTTTGAGAAATGAAATGATAAATATATTAAGCATTAAAATAAGTAATTAATGGGGTCAAAATAAAAAATTTGTTACAAAAATTTAAGACAACTTACAAATATTACTTATATTTAAAGATAAGATGATAATGATAGTTGTTACTTATAAAAAGAGAATGCAGAATATTTAGTTGTGTAGGAAATCCATTTAATTTTATACTCAATAAAAATAGTTGTGTAGTTTATTTTATTCTTCAACTAATGCTCATTGATTTAATTATGTGAAGGGCAATAAGACATCTTTATTATAATTATCTTCATTTCGGATGTAGTTCAACGTATTCAAATTAGTCGGAATTCATCTACAAAAAAAATAGTCGGAATTCAAAGTAACTTTAAATACTAAAAGATTTTAGGAAAATGTATTAATAATCCAAACTAAAAATTAAAAAAGCTAGAATACTTCAAGTAATTGTCTTATCTAATTCCATTCATGTCAAACTTACGTCTGTTTTTTAATATAAAAACTAGTTAGATGATCAATTTGATTCTAAATATAATACATCAATCTATTTTATTTTTAATGTTTATTTATTTTTCGCTCCCAAATAAATAATCTCTATGATAATTGTACATGTTAGAATAAATTCAATATACATAATTGATATAAGTAGTTTAGGAAAAACAACGTTAATTTATTACAAATAACTAATTTAACTAATTTTTTAAATATTCTTAAATTGGTTAACTCTAAGATAGTATCTAGTTTAACTCAAAATTAAGAGAATAAATATTATATTTATAGGGACAAAAATTTTTGGCAAATGATGGATGTAATATCTATCCATATTTTATGGGTGGAGACGATGCGTGAAATAGGAAGCGGTGGCGAGCTATCCACACGTCCTATCTCATCCACAGCTTATTTCGGCATTTGCACATGCCTTTCAATTCCAAATATCCATTTCTTTTTCTTTTCTTTTTTGAGTAAATATCCATTTCCAATCATTATTTTTAAAAAAAAAACAAGATCATAAAACCAAGCATTTTAGGAAAAATTACACCCAAATTCCAAAACGAGAAATTTAATTATCTTAAAGTTCATCGATGAGTGAAAAGTAAATAATTATAAGTTCTATAATAGAAAATAACAACATATTCAGATTGGTTACTTTTTAATAGAATTTTTTGGTAATTAAATTTCTTCTTTAAAAACAAAAATCTGAAATGAGGAAATATATAAGAATTTGTGTATATAGAGTATCTAACATCTTTCAACACTTATTCTTTAAAAACTTTAAAATGAGGAGATTTTTATTTTATTTTAATATATTCTTGAGTACAATTCATTGCCAATTAAATTTATATTATATGTATTGTCATACACTCAACTGCTCATGTTTCATGAAATAGCCTGTAATTAACAAAAATAATTCTGGCCAAAAAAATAACAATAAAAGTCGGCATTTAATCGCCCCAAATTTCTCATCAAATCAATCAATGATCTTAAATACTCTAATTCCCCAGAAGTGAAGGCGCAGTGAGAAGCAGGGGCATAATAGTCAATGTACTGAGATATAATGCATTGGATATTAAATATTGGTCACCGCCATGATCTGGAGATACGAACACGGGCAGCGTCGAGATTTTAGGAAAGAAATAAAAATAAATAGAAAGGACAAGATGGTCAATTCTCAAGGGGCCCCTCAACCTCAAGCTACTGTCTGATAAAACAAAAAAGTTGAAAGTTACTGTACATATTCGCATGAAATTTCTGATGCAGTTATTCACCAATCTTGTCTTAGCACGGGATGTAAGAAAAACAAAAAAATTATTATATTATTTATGATAATTTAATTTATTATAAATTTTTAGAAAATCAATATACGTGTTTAGATGAAAACAACTTAATATATTGATTTTTTTTAATGAAATAGTCAAATTATATTATATGTAAAAAGAGAAGTAACAACAACGCACAAGACACTCACTTAAAAAATGGTTTAGAGGATATAACATAAAATTTTTTAAATATAACTATTAAAACCTCCCAAACTAATGGTTAAACTTAAATTAAAGTCTAAAATAAATTAAGGGAGAAAAAGATATTATGATCAGCTTTCAGTAGCATGAGCAAGACCATGGCAATAAACTCAGGCGAAGAGGCATGTTGTAAAATTAAAAAATAATAATATACTGGCTATTATTGTAGTGGAGAGTATTTTTAATGAAGTAATTAGAATATTGGGAATAATTAATATTTTTCATAATATAATATTTTTCATAAAAACAAAAGTTGTGGGTCCTTTACCCCTGCTACCTACCGATTGGGCATGTCCCTTTAAGCATCATCATAGATCAATTCAAATTGATGGCGTTATTATTAAATATTTCTTATTTGATTTTAAAATATTTTTTATTTATAATTTATCTAAAAATTTGATATTTAATAGAACTTAATAGGCTCGTGCGATCTATATTATTAATAGCGAAAAATACAATAGGACTTTGTTGTTGTACCTTCTTCTCCTGGAATGAGTCTATTATTGGCTTCATATTAGATGGTATCCAAACATGTTATTAACAATGTTTCTCTCTAGTATCAATTTCGTGAAAAAGAAAAAATCAATAACAATCCTAAACTAGTTGGTCGTTATAAATATAAGACCTCAATCTATTTTGTTTTTCAAATTTATAATATTTTCTAAAAAATATCATTATAATTGTAAAATATTTTCACTCAAGTATAGTTTCAATGCACATAATTAAATAAAAATAATTTAAGAAAGTCAATATACATTTGCTATAAATAACTAATTTAACTAATTTTCTTATTAAGATCTGGAAGTAGTAATTAATTACAACTGTACCTACTAAAATGTTATGTTCAATAACATCTCACTCAATATATAATTTCAATAAATTAAGTAATTAGTTATGCTAATTTATACGAACCTTACTTATATTGTAGCTGATCCTCCTTCTAGTTTAGAAAGCATATATAATTGCTTCCTTAAACACACACACACACACACCACGCAAGCATAAATTTCTCTTCAATTTCTTTTTATTAAAAAAATACCATATACTGGAAGCTATTTTTAATAAAACAGTGAATGCAATAAAATTATACTAAGCAATATTGTATTTTATATTAAAAAAATTTAACACTAACTTCAATGGATAAAAGTTAGAAGTAATTTTATGAAGGAAAGTCAAGTCAAAATTTTGGTGTTGATGAAAATGACATAATGCTATTAGACCGAAGACATTATAATTTAAGGAATATTTACTGATAAACAATGGATGGATAGAAATGAGAATAGAGATCAGGTGGCTGCACTAATTGGCGCCCAAAAAATGATAAATTGGGTGAAAGCTTACATATGAACATAGCACTCTTGCTCTCTCTTTCTTGAGGGGGAAAAAAAAACATTTTTCATTAGCTTATTTAAATCTCGTCATTAGGGGACGTGGACTTTTAAATCATATTAACAAATAAGTTCGGTTTTTTCATCCGCATAACCCGTTTTTATTTGATTAGCTTTTTTTTAGTAATTATTTAATACTTTCTATTTTGTTTTCTAAATTTACATGCTTTTTAATTTATTTTTATCGATTACATATATTAAAGAAGGGTTTTTACACCAGTTTACTTTTCATTATGGTAATATATATATTTTGGGCAATGATGTATCAAAAACTTGATGTAAGAAAGCCAGAAACTTTTTAAGGACGTATTTAATACGGACCAAGTATTTTCTCAGCTTCTTATTATTTGGTACTTCAAATTATGGAAATGCAATTAAGTCATTAAAATTATTTTATAATGAAATAAAACTTCAAATCTATTTTTATTTAAAATCATAAATTAGTTCAAAAGAAAAATTATACCAAATTTTAAATAGTGACCATATTGGAAAAATG